AAATCCCAAGACTTTCTTTGTTGACAATTACGAATGATCAGTGGTTCGTTGTAGATTTTACTTCCTCTCTCTCCGCTACTCGTAATATTTTCCCTTCTCTACCGACAGTTATATAAATCGTTTTACTACCGTGACTGTCGAATGAACGATCCGTAAATTCCGCATCACTATCTTGCTTTTTAGTTGAACATGCTTTCAATCACTACTGACTCGGACCGTGCACCGCAGATTACTTTTTACTTCGGTAGTGGTACACATTTTCCGCGTACTGCCGGTCAGCGTCTTACGCGTGCAATAACCGTTTTTCACATTTAGCTTTCAAAGTGATTTTCTGTTCAACTGCTTTTGATTCACTCATTTGACCCAAAATGCCAAAGGATTCTCCATTGGGTTCAGACTTGAACTGCGAGTAGATTCCACGTAAAACACCATATTTGATGTGTTGCTTGTGTATTACAGCGTCATTGTGTTGAAATTAGACTACTCTGTCCATCATCTTCTGGCCAATGGCAAAACAAATGGGCTTGTGTAACTCGCTGCATTTATTTACCGTTTTCGATTGCCAACTGACTCGACCTAGTTGCAGAAAATTCATCTTAGGTCCTAACCCGTCATACAGAGATACAGTGAAGTTCGCTTCACTGTATTCGCTGTACTATCATAATAGTGGCCACTCATCCTTTGGCATAATTACTCATTGAAGTAGATTTTTCTTCTACATATCGCGCAAGTAGCAATGTCAATTACCCGGTCTATTCCCGCTGAACGTTCTTCGTCACTCAGTATCAGTGAATCATTTAAGCAACGTGTCTTTCAGACCATTTTAACCAATACAGATTTTGACAACGTTTCAAGGAAACCATTGCTTTATGATCGTACGACTTGATTCAAGGTTTTTCAACTTTACACTTTTTGTTGACATTTCCAGTACGCTCTTCATTATAATTGCACGCTCAAATCAACTTGCTAGCAGTTACTTTATGCACCCGGGCTGGAGAATTTCCAGCTTTTTTTTGACAATTTGTGAACATGAAAGTTGTACTGAAACAGGATATGTATAATAAATCAGACATCAGGCTTTTTGCAACCAAACTCGCATTTAGTGTAATTCTTTGCAACCTTTTTCAAGTATCCACGATCACATGCGAGACTTTTTAAAAATTGAATTGTGGTGTGCAAAGGCGCAAGCGCGTATCAATTTGAACTTTGTGCTTGTGGATGTTGTGAATACAGTTTTTGACAGTTCGTTGTGTGTGATGCTGATGAGTAGATGATGAAAGTATTTTTAAAACAGATTTCCACACCCATCTAGGTGTCTGTTCGCCTGTTTTTCTGATGATGCCTTTTCATTTGGGAATATGTTTAAGCAATCTTTCCTGTAGGCTTAAAGTCTATTTTTAACAGACCGGGAGAAACCCTGGGAACCCGTACGCAAATGCAACAATAAACCGATGGTCAACACCATGCATTCCTTGTTGGAGTGAGAAATATGACAGCCTTCTTATTTTCACGGAATGTCTAGTGAACATGCACGAACTGTAACACAATATCCTGTGATAATGTGACGCGAAGTTATTTTACCTTCGTTAATACCGGTACGAGTTCGTCGTTAGTAAAAACTGAGACAAACCTGTTTGTAAAGGCCGGTTCATCGGCCAACAGAAACATGACACCCTTCCACAAGGCGGTGCCCGATCGAGGAAAGTTGTTTATTGCAATTATTTATTGAAATACGTGGTATCTGTGACATAAACGTGGATTTATCTGGAAGCAATGTTTTCCCGTCACAAATTTGAATAGAGATTTATCTGGATTTATCTGCCTAACGTTGAAATTATCACCAAGACATGCATCGGAATCAAGTATGAAGCATGAAAAACGGTAAATACAATAATTTATTTTATCTTTGGTGGATTCTGTGACAACCGACGTTAACCATAGTTCCTCAGACAACCGGAACATAACTGATTCGCAAACAATAAGGCCGCTTCTTTCTTTGTTATCTTAACCTGTCTTAAAGTGTCTAGTGTTGCCCCGAATTGTTGAATAGCGATTCAAGATGCTAACTTTTGGGATTGAAGTGTTATCAGCACATTCCCTGAGTATTGGTAGTTCATCCAAACCAAAAGATTCAATCAGCTTACTTTTCCGCAGCTGGTGGAGGATCATGGTGGGTCCATTTTCAGTTTGTACGACCATTACCGTGCGCTGGTTTTGGTTGCTGTCTTTTGGTCGCCCATTCGGATGAACAGTAGGAGAAAGACAGGAAGATTTGAAGTAGAATCAAAGAGAAAATTGATGGTTTCAGTGAACTAATGTTGCAGAGAAATCGACAAGATGCACGAACGCCACTGTTTATGACTTGCAGCCGTATCACTAAGTGTTTCTTACTATCGGGTATGATCATCCCGAGGTTCCCAGCTAGGGAGCCTAACGGGACCTATGTGACCCAGAGTCGTGGTTAGGGTTTTCATACCCTCGTACCGGGTCTTAGCTTGACCACGATTGGCTTTATTCCACCCATTACCTGCGTTGGCGAACATCACTCGCAGTGACAACCTATCTGGTGACATGCGTAACACATGCCCCAACCAACGTAATCTATGGAGGTGCACCACTTGCTCCAGTAGGTTCGCTAATTGGTAAACTGACTGACAAGGCTGTACATTGTGACATTGGTTTGAACTCAGAATCAGGTCTTCCAACATCGGTGGTTCCCTTTTTATGGTCATTTGTGCTATCAGTCAGGTTTCTTTTTATAACTTTCCCCTTTCTACTGAGCCTTCTAAGTTTTTTTTTCTTACAGCTTATTTCGGCGTTTAATTTCACATCGATCAGCCTGATAGGCAAGCCTCCTGAATTGTGTTCTCTGTCTGTGTTGGTAGGTCTGCGCAACTGCTTGTATCACGCTGAGAGATATCTACCTCCATAGATGAAGACAGTTTCAAGCGAGCAACAACTGTTAAAGTAAAACTCAAGAATATCAGTGATATTCACACTTAAGAGACAATGATTGAAACTGCTTTGTCACACATTTCTCAGTAATGAAAAATTGTGTATATCCTGCCTGGTAGGACAATGTGACAGATTTTGCAAACTGTGATATCAAGGTTTGCATCATATTTCTTGAAATTTCTTGAACTCGCCAAATACAGACAACGCATCACTCATTCGTGCTATCATGAGGACAGATCAGTCATAGAAGAAGGAAGGAAAGAAGATCAGTAAAGTGCACTTATTCGAGTTACGAATGTATTAGATATCAGATAAATTTTTCCCAGGAACATGAAAAGACATTCAAAAATGTGGCTCGCGGTGGTTTTGTCTGTCACGTATTATTGTACATTCCTCCATTTACTAACAGAATTGGCTGCATCTTCCAAATTACGGACACTCGCGAGGCGATCAGCCCGATACGAATTAAAGCTAATCTATTGGTAATTTTTTTCGTGACTAACATTCTTTTCAATGTCACGATTCCTATATTTTTTGGAACTATTACCGGTTCGCCTAATGACCGCTACTTAGTAGTTTTTTCCCAGTGGATAGCGGGTAGTGCTCGATAAACCTGGTGACATTTGCATTTTCAAAGCACTGCACTGTCTGATATCAACTTGAACGATATTTTCTCACTCAGACAAAAACACGTGATTATCCGCCTGATCTGTTTTTCTCACTATTGGTATAATTCACTAAATGAGACGGCTTGAGCGACAACACGTTGAGATTTCATAAGCATACTCGTGTAATATTTCATAAGTTATCATCAGATTTATCAAAATGCTAATGATGTACGTGNCGTGTTAAAAACACTGGTTTATGATAAAGTTTGAATGAAAGCTCCGTCTTAAATTCTATTGGATCAGGTTCAGATAATGGAACGATTTGTTCTTTGGGTAAAAAGTTTGACTGTTTCATGTTTTGTAGCAAGGGTTGGCCTTCGATTTTCTTCTTCTTTTTCAACTTGCCTCCAGGAAGATTTGTCACCCCTTTTCTGCCTAACGTGCCTTTTATTTCCTCTCAGCTACTCACTTCTGACAATACCCGAATATGTCCCACTATTGAATGTTGTAGCCATGTTTGAGACAGGCTTCTCTTTCTTGGCCCTGTTGTATCCTATTCAACGTAACGCTCTCCGCTTTATCACTAAGCTCTTCATAAACGTGCACCTGCAGTCATGTCCTTGTCCATTCAATACCGTTCACACCTCGGAGCTTGCCGANNNNCCGATTTCGTTCCTTCCCCAATTCCAGCTGTTCACGACACCTAATGATGAGCGATGATTAGCCTTGACCAGGTGACTCGGGAAACCTGTCGACGACTGCGCTTTAATCTTTGTTTTTCCAATAGCTGCAGAGTTGTGAAACGCTTCCTTTCGGTTTTGTCCTCTTGCAACCTTTCTTTATCCGAGCGGAAAATCAATAGGTTGTTTGGACAAAGATTGGCTTTTCTGCCCAATACAGTAGTCTATAATTTTGGGTCTACGCCTTCGTTCTACGTAATTCGTTAAATGCAAAGGTAAATAGCTGCAAACAGCCAATGAATTTCTTCCCCATAACTACCGAATCGTACGTGCAGAAATCGGGACTGAATTGCTTTTGTAAATTGACCTCCAATCGTACACGTTTCAGTCGTCTTGAATGAAGGTTGACTAGTGTTAGTTTAGTCAATAAGGGATCATGCACATGTTGGCGAGGTAATGCAAGCTTAAAATTATTCAGTCACCGTGTAAATAATAGCCTGTACCCAATATGAGATTGGTGATAATGCTGTCCTTTAAACTACTGTTTATCATTGGATTCTAATGATGATAAAAGCTTTATTAGACGTCATTATTCCTAAATGTTCTGGGGACACGTACCAACAATCACGATTTCTCCTAAATGGAATCTGGTAGAAACAACTGTAAGTGGGGCAGTGTTGTGTCTCATCATTTGACAGGATGTGCAAAAATCCGGATCCTTTTGAACACATTATTTAATCACGGAAGTGTCACATTAAATTATGTGATTATTCCACACAACATTTCGTTTACATCTCTAGATAATAATATATTCAATTTTTGACGTGGACAAGGCGTAAACCAATTCTTGATTCCAGATGAGAAAAGTTTTGATTGAACTACAGAATAATATTGCCACCATTAGGAAGATGCTCAATACCATGATGAAGAGAAGGAGCTCGAATACAAGTTCCACATGGTATTCAGCTCAGTTGAAAAAAATCTATTAGGAGCGGTTCATGTTATCAAGTGGCCTATTACAGAGTGCAATCCAACTATCGTACAAGTATGATGGAAGTACTTTGATCCCTAGGATTCGAAGCGGAAAACTGTGTTCAAGTACAAAAAAGAATGATGATGCACAAAGTGATCCAGTGATTGATGAGGTGAATTGATCATTTCCCAGTGAAGCTATTTTACTATACTGACCTACATATCGAAACGTTTTACCACAATTGCGAATGTAACAACTCTTAACAGACGAGTTGTATGTGTGTGCGAGCGTGAGCCCACACTGGAACTAATGAGATTTTGTGAAATAGGTTACTCGAAAATGGACAATTATCAAGCAAAAATACCTGATTACAAATATCTCCGGGTTCGATCGATCGGAATGTAGGGTGAAATAAAATCCCGTTTAAAACAGCCGGTATAATTGGCAACATTCAATGTAAAAATATGCACGCGAAGCGCGTTTATGTAATCGTCACTGAATAGATTAAAATTGAAACAGTGAAACGTTTAAGGAAACCGTTCGCAAAATCAGCGTGTATGCTGGCGAATAATATAACGACGTGGAAACACTATCGTAATTGTGCGCTGAACCTAGCCTATGGTTATTGTATGTCTTTCGCTACATAACGCAAGCAGTGAGAGCAATAAAAATTAGTCCCCTAAAGTTATTACCTGAAAATAGCCCAAAGTAAAAGACAGCCAAATCTCAGTGTGTGCTAGTTCAAACTTTCATCCATTTTTCGAGTCATCTGATGATTTCGGATACACCATGTTCAGCATACAGGGAATACATATATACATATACATATACATATATATATATATATATATATATATATATATATATTCAATCGAAAGTGTGCGTATGCTGAGAATTTGTTTCTACGCATGGCTGAATAAGGGTCTACTGACACGCCTAGATAGGGTTCACGTATGTGAATGGTCGAGAGGGTTTGTTTTCGCAAACCTAGTCGTGTGATTGGATCTCGTTAAACTGCGGGAGTGATGAGCACAACAATTCTAGGAAATCAGCTAGATTTTTGCTTGTACTCGAATCTAACAAGGTAGGCCGTGAACTGGAGATCAGAATATTTCACTATCTACTACGGTCTCCTTTCAATCTTAAAAAAAGTGCCATCATTCCTGATCTGGAGCATAGCGCGCAATTAGCAGCACATTGTAATGTTCTTGAAATTTGGAAATGTCATTTCTCCGATATAGTGCACTCAAAAATGTCACAAGAAAAAGATCAGTACTTCATGGATGAATTTGTTGCAGTTCCACCGGTTGGAATTTGATTACAAACTCTTTGTTTGCTTTTGAACCCCACCTGGGTTTGTTGTGAGCGATCGATATTACCTCGAGTATCCTTAGTCGGTGTTTGCTACGATGACCTAACAAAACCGAGAACGTGTTCACAAGGTCTACCTTGTGACCGCTTTAAACCAAGTGGTGTGCGATGTTCGAAGTCGGTCTAGGTGATACAGTCAGAATCTGTGGTTTAGGCTGAGTCATTGATTCACGCACATACTCTGAGATGTGTTCGGCCATTCTAGTTCGCAGTGATCGGTTGGTCCTACTACTAGTGATGAACGCCCTTTGTGTATGGCCATGGGATCGCAACATTTTCAAAACCTTTCTTTTTTTGACGCTGTACTCGAGGAAGGTTCTTTTATATTTAGGCTTTCTACACTTGATAGGCATCTACAGAGGCAGCCTCAGTGTGAGGTGATGAACTGCTCTACGTTCTGCGGTAGTGCTTCACAAAATACATTTGAGATGATCTGCAAATCACATGATCTTTCAAGGGAGTGGG